GGGTTTGCTGAATTTCTGAATCTGTTCATTTACAGTTTTCATCAATTTGGATGATTACCCATCAATATTTATTCAAAATTTTTTTTCTTCTGCCCATCTTTCCTTCCGGGATTCCAATTGCATCTATGTTAGATAGCTTGAGATGGTCCTACAAGTCACTGAGGCTGTTGGAATTTTTTTTCCAACCTTTTTTCTCTATATTTCAATTTGGATAATTAATGCTATTAAGTGCATCCAGTGAAGTCTTCATTTTAGACACTCTATTCACTCCACCCCACCCCTGATGGCTCCTATGTTGAAGCTCTAACCCCCAATATGAATGTTTGTAGATGGAGTCTTCAGAGAGGAAATTAAGGTTAAATGAGGTCATTAGGGTGGGACCCTAATCTGATAAGAGTCTTGTCCTTATAAGAAGAGGAAGAGTCACCAGAGAAAACTTTCTCTCCGTGCATGCACAAAGACCATATGACACAGTGAGAAGGCAAGACATCTATAAGCTGGAGAGGTCTCACCAGAAATCAACCCTGACAGCACCTTGATCTTGGACTTTAGGCCTTAACAACTATGAAAAAAGTAAATTTATGTTGTTTAAGTCTGTGGTATTTCAGTATGGCAGCTAGAGCAGACTAATACAGATGCAATTTCTCAAAACTGATATAGAGTAATTCAAATTGTCTATTTCCTTCTATGTAAGTTTTGGCAAATTGTGTTTTTCAAGTTCCGGAAATAGAAAATATCCAATACTTTCACATAAGTATTTGTTCTTAATATCTTCTTATCTTTACCATCAGTAGGATGTTTCCTTTCTCATTCCTGATATTTGTATTTTGAATTTTCTCTTTTTATTTGATCAGTCTATCTAAGGGCTTATCAATTTTATTAACCTTTTCAAAGAACCAATTTTGGCCTTGTTGCTTTTCTCCAGTGCACATTTGTTTTCAATTTCATTTATTTCTGCTCTTATCTTCCTTAGTGTTTTTTAGTCTACAGATGTTTGAGAATTTCCCAATGAAAAATCTGATCCTCTTATGAATTCACATTCACATTATATCACTTATTCTTCAATATGAACAGAAATCCAAGGCTAACTAGATATTTAAGGAACTAATATAAAATTTCAAAGAAGATAAAAGCAAAACCATAGAAATCCAAATAAATAACTGAAAATAAAATCTGAGTGAATATAGACAATATGGGGGAACAGAAGAAAACTTTTAAAACATTTTAAGATTCTTAGATATGATAATGCACTCTGAAATCCAAACAGCATTTTATGAGGTAATAGAGAAAAAAAAAGTAAAGTCCAAATATAACAGTATAAATTAATTATTCAACAAAAAGCTTATGGGGGAAAAAAGCTGAATAAATCTTTTAGAAACTAGAATAAAATTGTTAAAGAAAAGAATCAGAGGAAAAAAGGATTTAGACGATTATTCCAGGAAAACAGTTTTCAACGTAGACATTTAAATATAGATAGCCCAACAATTAAGTGTGTGGCATGTTTCAGATGTGCAAGCTGGTTAAAAAAAAAAAAATCACCATTTCTCCCTGTATTAGTTTCATACCGCTGCTGTAACAAATAACCACAAACTTAGTTGCTTAAAGTGACCCAGGTTTATCTATCTCGCAGTTCTGGAGGTCAGAAGCCTGAAATGGGTCTGCAGCGCTATATAACTTCTGCAGGCTCTAGGGGAGAATGTTTCCTTGCCTTTTCCAGCTTCTAGGAGGCACCTACATTACTCTGTTCCTTAATTCCTCCCTTCAACCTCATAGCCAGTAGCGTGGCATCATTCTCCTCTCTGATCTCTTATTTCCCTCTTATAGGGATGTTTGTGATTATGTTGGGCCCACCCAGATAATCCAGTAATTTCCTCATTTCAGGATCCTTAACTTAATCACACATGCAAGGTTCCTTTTGCCATATAAGAAAACATGTTCATAGGATCTGGAGATTAGGATGTGAACATCTTGGGGGTGGGGGTGCATTCATTATGCTGTCTACAACACTCCCATTTACATTTTCTCAGGAAGCTACTAAACGATATGTTTCATAAATACAGATGATGAAACAAAGAAAAAGGAAACAAGGGATCCAACACAGGAGAGCAGTATTGGATTAATAAAAGCAACCAATACTGAATGAACTACGGGTTGCAATGCTCTAGAGGAAATGTCTGTAGGGAAAAAAACAAATCTGCAAGATTAATTGATGTGTTTGTGATGTTTCATCACTTTGGCAGAGTTTCTGAGGACAGATTATTAACAAGTACATAAACATATGGCAATTACTAACACAAAGCAAGGTAAAAGATCGTTGTAAAAGTTGACGTGATTTCAGGGTTGAATCATATTTATAAACGTTAATTTAACAAAACCTGTAATATTACCATACTGAAAGATGAGGGGATAAGAAGATTGTATGTGGGGACAGAGAGAAAGAATGTTCACACACTTGGGGGTGGTAGAAAAGAGTTTTACCATCGGCTTCCATTAGAAGCAAATCAATGGATAATGTCTAAAGTCAAAAAATCAAGAAATTTCAGTATATTTTAACATACAGAGTAAACAACAAACTGACAGAATAACAAACAACTGAAAATATTTGAAAGAATTCTCCTTTTGAGAGAAGAAGTGAGATAGAGTGGAAGGGTTGGAGACAATAGGGTTTTGGTTAAAAACCTAGAATGTGGCAAACTGTTATTGCTCACCAATATGTGTATGTTTCTCTACATTTCTCAGACTGCCTTGAAGTTAAAGTGGGGACCTACATTAAATTTAGTCCACTAAACTAAATTAAATAGAGTCCACTCAATTCTGGCTAATTGGATGTGGGCAAAGTGGTATTTGCCAATTTTAGGGCTAACCTCTAAAACTTTTTGTGGGATCCACCATGCTTTATTTCTTGTCAGGGAAGTTGTGGACCCCAAGTTGTAGAATAGAGTAGAACCACTAAGAATAAAAAGAAATCTACATCTTTGAGTCTAACATTTCATTTGACAAGTAACATCCACAATAGATTTCTTGTGAGAAATAAAAGTTTACTGTATTAAACCACTGAACTTTTGTGACAGCAGTAAATTCAGTGTCGTTTTTTTAAAAAACAGTCGCAAATTCTTTGACAATCTTTTGAGATGTAGCATCTATATCCCATCTCCTAAAATGTGGACATGCCTTGAGACTCACTTATAGTCAAAAGAATGTGAGAAAAGTGACACTATCTTACTTTTTGGGTGTAGGCCAGAAAAGAACTTATTCATTGCAACAGCTGACTTTGGAGCATTGGACCCAAGCTAAGACGGCTGATTATCCTACTGCCATACTGTGAGGAAGCCCAGGCCACACGGGGAGGCTACACACAAGAGCTCTGCTAACATTCATAATCTTCTCAGCTGAGTTATTAGAAAAAAGCTATCCCTCTGTGTCCTACTGAACACACAATTCATGAACACAATAAAATGGTTATTTCAAGCCACCATATTTTGGGGTTATTTATTATATACCAGTAATAACCCAATACTCACTCCAATTCTTAAATAGAATCACTTCTTTTTAATGTGTGCACTTGAACTAAAGTAGTCTAAAAAAAAATAAGGGTGTGAATTACTTATTCTTGGCTTGGAGACTGCCATTGCTACTCATCTTTCCTCCTAAAGCAGCAGCTTTGAAACTTTTTAAAAGAGAAACACACAATAAGAAATACATTTTATAAACATGATCTAGTGAACACATCCATGCATACATATATAAGCTGAAACTCCATAATGCAATACTTAACTATTCCAAGTGCCACGCACTGATAATTTCCACACTAGACTATTTCATTTTTTAAAAAGTGTAGTTAACACTCAACAGATTTCCTTGCTTACAAATGGGACCTCCACCAGTGGGTCTCGTACAATCCCCTTGAAAAACACTACCCTAAACCATAATTATTCTTCAAGACTTTATTCAAGTTCAGCCAATAAGCCTTCATTGACTACTCCACTCTGATCCCTTTCGAAATTCCTACAATTTATTAGTCATATTGTATTTTCTGTACTACCCATACTGTAAGCTCCTCTAGGACAAGGTTCTGTCTTTCATCTTTCATTTGCTAAATTCAAAGTACTTAATAAATACATTGCTCAATATCTGGCCACGGTGTTTTGTAATCTCACAATTGTTAACGTGCATTCCTTCTGTTTGGATTTTTCCTTGGGGTAGGGCAAGGAAAAATGGTTTAATAATCCACATACTGTGCTTAACTTCGAACTGGAAAAGTGCACAAAGTAGTCTCAACTCTACATGACTGTAGTTTTAAAACAAACCAAAATATCAAGTTATATTTTTTGTAATAGGTTTCATTAATATGCAGCGCACGAAATACTTCTCTTGATGTAGCCATTGAAAGTAACAGACCCAAGTTCTCACGACTTAAATATTTTGAGGACTGATACAGGGGAAAGTGTTTTGTACGAACAGCATTTTTCACAACTCACTGCAACTACATCTTGACGGTATATTTCGAGAACTGCGTCCCACTTTCGTGGCCCCGGACAGTCTTAGGAGGGAGCTGAGAGCTGGGCTGGCGGGCGGTGAGGCCCCGAGTCAAGGATCCTGGGCCTATTCCTCCATCCCGACTCTCCAGAAACACCGATCAC